ACACACACACACACACACACACACACACACACACACTCTTTGTGGGAAGGTTCATTGCCCTTATGTGCCTTTCAACTGGTAACTACTACCATGTGCAAATGCAAAAGTGAGTTTTTCTTGTATGACTTGCAGTCCTGCACTTTTGCAGTTTAATTCGTCTTACCTGTTCAAGAACGGGTCAGAGCTGTTGGTGGTCATGTTACGGGCGTCTTGTCCCATGCCGGGTGAGGACACAGGGTTTTGAGTGCCGCCATCCTGCTCCATGCTGGTCGGCAGCTGGTTTCTCAGGGCGAGCTCCTGTACGCACAAACAAAAGGAATATGTGTCAGTGTGAAATTCATTGGTTTTCAGGAACGGAAACTTAACGCAAGACGAAATTAATGATTTTCTTTGGAATCAGTAGAGAGATGAGAGCGGATACATTTTTTTTACTTACAAAAAAAGGACAGAACAAACTATACTGGTTTTACTTTCAAACGATGTAAATGTATGTGAAAACAGTGAGTGAGGTACGGGAAAGGAAAAAAAAAACACGAACTTAACCTGCAAGTTTTACTTATTTTCCTGTATCACCCAGTTGAGTAAAACGAAAGCCTTTCCCATCCAACATGTCATAAGTTACAAATCTGGTTATCATTTGTCAACGGATTGAGCAAGATTGTCTGTCAACATCCTTGATTATTTTACTGCCTCAGCTGAAAATGGTGGTTTGCAGAGACTCACGCGAAAGTGTGGGTTTATTGCACATCATTTAGGGTACGGCAGAAGGGTCAGATCTTAGTTTTTTATTACAGACTTCCTATGACTAATTGAAACTTAAATACGGTCACAACTTTCGCTGATTAAAGGACAACTCAACAGGCCGTCACCACAGAAAAGTCAACATGACATCAACACTGACCCTATTGACTTTCTTAAAGCACTTTAGTCATCTTGTTGCAAATGATTCATTTAATCACATTAATTAAAAGAAAGAAATGCTTTTCTGTTTTGACTGACATCTTTAAATGTAGTTTTTAGTAATTGTATTTTATTTTTTATAGTTAATTTTGATTTGTTTATTTTAGTTGAGTTTTAAATTTATTTATAATTTTTTTTTTAAATATTAGTTTTAATATTTTTGAGCTGCCAGAGTTAGTGTGCTAACTGAAATCATTTAAAATATTGTTATTAAATATCAATGCAGGTGGCTTATAAAATTGTAAACAATTACAATGCATTCTGCAAAATGAATTTGTGGCAATTTTTATTGTCATTTTTAATTAGTGTTAGAATCGTGCAAACGTTTTTTTAGCCAACTTTTATTTCACTAAGATCGGTGCCAAGCCTTGCACTACATTTTATGTTGATGAATATGTTTTTAGTAGGAAATATGTAATAATATTAAAATAGAATGTGAATTAGTGCTGGGCGATATACCGGTTCATACCGAATACTGGTGTTTATTTTTGTTATGATATGAATATTTAAAATACCGCAATATGCGTATGTCGCTTAAACAGCGCTCGGAACGTGACACTGTTTGAAAAGGGTCCCTTTTCACTGTTGCACTGTGGTGAGGGAACAGCTGTATGTTACTAAGCATGAAAGTTCCGAAACTGAAGCTGTAGAACTAATAGAACGTGATGACACACGTTCTCATCCACAATATCCACATTGACCGCCACAAATATCCACCGGCCCCTGCCATCAGCTCCCGCATCTCACACACACGAGCGTGACTTTAGCACTAGATTTAGCAACTTTCAGACCCTTTTAGCGTCTTTTTTCCATAAAATATTTATACCGACAAACCTAGCAACTTTTTTGGATAAACCTTAGCTATGGTTCAGTTGGAAGATTTCGCCAGTGCTGTCCCGCAAACTTTCCCGGAGAAGTGTCACCTCTCTCGGCGTCTGTTCTGTGCAGTGAGCGGCAGACAAGCAGTGCATTCAGTTGGCCGCACCGCAGCCGACTCGTCAATAAATGAGTACAAAACAGCGTTTCCTAGCACCTGTCGCTTACTGATTGTTTGGAATTATAAATATGAGCGTAGTTCATCTGTTAATATCACATGCGCTTTTTTGTTTGTTGTTTTTTTTAGTTTGTTACTCAGACGCAGGCAGTGCGCTGCATGAGACAAAAAAAGTAATATAGCCAAAACAACCGCATAGCTGCTCTTTAGTGTAGATGCATGTTGATTTTATCAGACGATGCCGCGATTATAAATGAGAGTGACTCCTGGTTAACATGTATTAAAAGGGGTCGTGTTTAGTCACTATTTAGTGTGGTATTTTTTTTAAAGCACTTTAGTCATCTTGTTGCAAATGATTCATTTAATCACATTATTTAAAAGAAAGAAATGCTTTTCTGTTTTGACTGACATCTTTAAATGTAGTTTTTAGTAATTGTATTTGATTTTTTATAGTTAATTTTGATTTGTTTATTTTAGTTGAGTTTTAAATTTTAGTTTTTTTTTTTTAAATATTAGTTTTAATATTTTTGAGCTGCCAGAATTAGTGTGCTAACTGAAATCATTTAAAATATTGTTATTAAATATCAATGCAGGTGGCTTATAAAATTGTAAACAATTACAATGCATTCTGCAAAATGAATTTGTGGCAATTTTTAGTCATTTTTAATTAGTGTTAGAATCATGCAAACGTTTTTTTTTAATTTATTTTATTTCACTAAGATCGGTGCCAAGCCTTGCACTACATTTTATGTTGATGAATATGTTTTTAGTAGGAAATATGTAATAATATTAAAATAGAATGTGAATTAGTGCTGGGCGATATACCGGTTCATACCGAATACTGGTGTTTATTTTTGTTATGATATGAATATTTAAAATACCGCAATATGCGTATGTCGCTTAAACAGCCCTCGGAACGCGACACTGTTTGAAAAGGGTCCCTTTTCACTGTTGCACTGTGGTGAGGGAACAGCTGTATGTTACTAAGCATGAAAGTTCCGAAACTGAAGCTGTAGAACTAATAGAACGTGATGACACACGTTCTCATCCACAATATCCACATTGACCGCCACAAATATCCACCGGCCCCTGCCATCAGCTCCCGCATCTCACACACACACGAGCGTGACTTTAGCACTAGATTTAGCAACTTTCAGACCCTTTTAGCGTCTTTTTTCCATAAAATATTTATACCGACAAACCTAGCAACTTTTTTGGATAAACCTTAGCTATGGTTCAGTTGGAAGATTTCGCCAGTGCTGTCCCGCAAACTTTCCCGGAGAAGTGTCACCTCTCTCGGCGTCTGTTCTGTGCAGTGAGCGGCAGACAAGCAGTGCATTCAGTTGGCCGCACCGCAGCCGACTCGTCAATAAATGAGTACAAAACAGCGTTTCCTAGCACCTGTCGCTTACTGATTGTTTGGAATTATAAATATGAGCGTAGTTCCTCTCAATCAGTAGAAAATATGGTTAACACCCGGTCATGCATGAAAAAAAAAATACCGTCATGTACCGTGAAACCGGTATAATTTTGAAAAATACTGTGATATAAATTTTTGGTCATACCGCCCAGCACTAATGTGAATGTAGTTCTTTGATTGAGTGATTCATTACAGGATTTCCAGCCACCACATCAATGCCTTAAAGTGTATTTGAAGGACTATCTTTATTGGTCTTTTAAGTGAGCTGCTTCTAGCTAGAGCCGGTAATATCATCCCTGAAGATCTCTGTTTATTTAGTTTTCCAGCTGGGTCTGCATCACTGAGTCAACACTGTGTTTACATTCCAAAGCAGGGGCAGCTGAACAAAACCTCCTCCACCTCTCCATCTGCCCCCTCATCTTGCAACCTCTCATTTAATAGCTCACAAAACATACACGGCAAGTATCTCTACTTCAGATTTACCCACTCTACACATCATGTACTGAGAAACAAAGTGCGACAAGTGGCTTTACATGTTTGTCAGATGCATGAATAAGCTGCAAGGTGGACCAGACCTTGTGCCAATAATCTTTCAGAACAACCTGTACAGTTAAACGACATGGTACATTACAAACAAAAATAAGCAACAGGAACGGCGAGTACACGAGGCACAGATCAGGGCCATTTCTGCAGCAGAAGACTGTGTGCCCGTCTAGAATGCGAGGACAGAATGATCTGACAGGTGTGTGTCTGACCTGGGGTCTCTGGCGAAGGAGCTCTTGTTTGATCCTCAGTCTCTCTTTCTCCATCTGGATCTGCTGCAGCCTGATCTGGTTGTTTCCACCCAGCACTCCGCTCTGTGGGCTGGAGGGCAACTGGGAGCCTTGCTTCACTGGAGCACTCTGGGAAATTCGCTGCTGGTTCATAGCTGAGGAAACAATATTAATTACATTAGGATGTTTCATTCGTTCTGATGATAAAAAGTAAACATTAATTATTTTATATAGATTATATTTAAAATCAAATATTCTCACACTAGAAAATGTAGTCCCACACATGTAAATAAAACGTAATATTTGTCATGACATTACAGTGTTACTATATTGTGTATATAAGCACTACTAAAATGCAGTGTTAATCAGCACCCAGAATGTTACATATCATTTGTATGTGTGTGTATGAATAACTACATATTTAGATTTACATCTACATATTTACAATTTCCATATTTAGACCTATAACTGTGAATGTGTGTGTGTGTGTGTATAGAGATAGATTTGTATGTATGCATATATATATATATATATATATATATATATATATATGGCATCTATAGATTTAGTATACATACACACACACACACACACACACACACATATGGCATCTATAGATTTAGTACACGCACATACATATACATACATATATATATATATATATATATTTGTATATATAGATTTAGACTTTTAACTATATGTTCTGATATACATTCATATTGTCAGACCTATAACAACATTATATATAAATAAATATTCAGAATTTTAAATACAGTGGTGTGAAAAAGTGTTGGCCCCCTTCCTGATTTCTTATTTTTTTGCATGTTTGTTACACTTTAATGTTTCAGATCATCAAAGAAATTTAAAGATTAGTCAAAGATAACACAAGTAAACACAACATGCAGTTTTTAAATGAAGGTTTTTATTATTAAGGGAAAACAAAATCCAAAACTACATGGCCCTGTGTGAAGAAGTGTTTGCCCCCCTATAGATGAGTGGACCAAAATTCCTCCACAGCGCTGTAACAGACTCATTGCAAGTTATCGCAAACGCTTGATTGCAGTTGTTGCTGCTAAGGGTGGCCCAACCAGTTATTAGGTTTAGGGGGCAAACACTTTTTCACACAGGGCCATGTAGTTTTGGATTTTGTTTTCCCTTAATAATAAAAACATTCATTTAAAAACTGCATGTTGTGTTCACTTGTGTTAACTTTTACTAATATTTAAATTTGTTTGATGATCTGAAACATTAAAGTGTGACAAGCAAGCAAAAAAATAAGAAATCAGGAAGGGGGCCAACACTTTTTCACACCACTGTATATATATTCAGATTTTCCTGTTTGGCTAGTCATACACATTCTATACTTAAACACAACAATATATTATTTCAATAACTTTGTGTTAATTGAAATTAATAGAAAAAATAGACGTTATAATTAAAAATTTTTTTCCCAAAAATTAAATAAATGCCTAAAATTCAATCTCCAGTCATAAATAACCATTCATAAAATCTGTCACTAAAGGGGGGGGAGTAGCATTAGCCATGTACAAGATACAGGGTATAAAAAGGCCTATCAATGCAAGTGGATGGAGCAATGCGTATTGCCACAGACGCAAACACAGAAACAAATGTTTTTGACCATAGGACGTGGGGTGTAACAGTAATTGGACCAATGAAAATTGCTGTTTACTTATGCACTGGGGCCACCAGTGACAACAAAGCTGTGATGGAGCTGGCGTTGTCATGTGAGAGGGAGCCCCGTCTTCCCCGCTTATCCTCATCACCATTCAATCAGAGTGTGTTTACACTACCTCAGGCCTGAATGAGTCTCCGCTCTCCTCTCACCATGGGAATCAGATCAGAGACTCACCACGCCTCACACACTGCAACCACCTTCCCCCACACTGCCCGAGGCGTGGAAGAGTGTGGGAATGTATATGGGAGCTATTGGGGGAGTGTGTGTGTATATGTGTGTGCTTGTTTCTCTTTAAAGACTCTTATCTCGCATAGATAGGGGTCTACTGAAGCCGAATGATGGCTCTGGTGGAGGAGTAATGGCTGATCTCAGGGCAGGAGTGAGCAGTTAATACAGGCTGATATCTTGCAGCCAGATTTGTTGCGTCTGTGAATGGGAACACAACAAAAAAACTCTTGATTCTCAGATTTCCCTGACTAGTCTGTACTTGACTGCTGTGGAGTTTCTGTGGGTATCTCACTTGGGAAACTCCACACCACAGCACAGAGATGACAAGAACACACAAACAAGTCTTATCCATGTGGCGGAATGACTCAGTGTTGCATAAGTGCAGCAGAACTGCAGGTTCATGCCACGGACGTGTTCTCCTATGAGCCAGCAGGAGGAGGAGGAAACGTGCCAGAGGGACACAAATAAAAAGAGAGTGTGAGAGATAAAAGCTCAGATTGACGTAGTTTGCCTGTCTTCTCCACGCTAGCTCGGGAACACGACCATCCAGTAATAAGTCTTTATCAGGACATCTCACAAAGCCGCCAGCCAACAGCAGCTCCCCTGTCCTCCTTTGCAGGTGAGACCGAAGTGGTGTTGGGAAACGTCAGGAAACGCAGCACCAGGACCTTTGAAGCCTTTGCTGGCTGTCGATTTAACAGGTTTATTGTATAAAAGTAGTGCTCAAGTTGCGTTTCCAGTTAAGAGATAAGCGCATAAAGCAGAGGAGACAGGGAAAGAGAGTCAATCTGTGTCCAGAAGAAAAGCCTCTCTATATCCTATCAAACAAAAACCTCAGCGGGCCACACAAAAGCAAGCTGTGAGCTGCCGGAAGCCAGCATGAGGAAATTCAGCTGCGACTAGCATGTAGTAGGAAACCAGTTGAAAGCAAGATGGAAGCCGTATCACTTACAAGAGGAAACAGCAGGTGGTATATGTATACATTAAGACTTGGAGACATTCACAGTTATTATTAGAGATTACTGCAGTGAGAAATGCAAATGTGTTTCCGTTATCCACACTAAGCTAAGCTACTCAAGTAATACAAATAATTGAGCAAATAACTGAATCAGACTGTCATTAAAGTGCTTTATAGCAGGCTCTTGGCTTTTTCTTTATACACACACACACACATACACACACACACACACAGTGTTTTTCCAATGTGCACACCTAATTTAACCACAAATATCTGATCATTTATCCAATTATTTCACTAGATTACACTTGAAATCTCCTTTCTCTCTCATTTCTTTCACCAAAAAGAGTCCTTTGATCACACAGAGACACATTTGAACAAAATCTGTGTTCATGCCATGTCGGAATTACCATAATTAAATTTTTCCTTTTTGTAAAAACCATTCACTTCCCTGTAGAACTCATAATTACAACTTGTGAACTCTAAATTTTCTGAGAGGTCCAACTTGCACCACCCGATCACGGCAATGTCATGCAGAAACACTCAAAATGGCAGGGGCTTCAGCAGTTCTGGTAAATAAATCCTATAATTGGCTATTGTTAATTCCTTAATAATGCAAGAGTAATCTAAAAATAAATGAAAAAGACAAACAATAGAGTTTTGCATTTAGCACAGAGTCAAACAACTATCAAATGTGACCCTGGAGCATAACCGTTGCAGTCTATCAGTCGTGTAATGCATGGCAATGGTAACAAAATCTATGAGAGTAAAAAAAACATGCACAGACAAATCCAAATTAAACCCTGCGGCTCGTGATGACACATTGATGTCCTAAGACACGAAACGATCGGTTTGTGCCAGAAACCGAACAGTATTTATATCATTTTTTACCTCTAATACACCACTATGTTCAACTGTCTTTGGGCGCGCGCACGGCATCCGGTGCGTGAGGTGTGTATGCGCTCTGGTGTAGTTTACATTAATGGGTGTGTTGATATCCAGCCAAAGAGCAATCAACCATAACTTCAGGCGAGCAGGCTCAGAAGTTGGGAATACGTGGAAAGTCACCACTCCCAAATGAGTTCGCACGAGAGAATGTAATCTTTTAGTTTTAAGTCAGTTTGAACAATCCGGATAAGCGCAAGTAAGTACCATTTTGATTAGCCGTCGTACCTACAAAGACTGTGCACTGTGTAAACAATGAGTGACGTATCTGCGCGAGAGCTCACTTCCAGCGCTTGCTTAAACTACGCCAGAGCGCGCACACACCTCACGCACCGGATGCCGTGCGCACGCCCAAAGACAGTTGGACATAGTGGTGTATTAGAGGTAAAAAATGATATAAATACTGTTCGGTTTCTGGCACAAACCGATCGTTTCATGTCTTAGGACATCAATGTGTCGTCACGAGTCGCAGGGTTTAATTTGGATTTGTCTGTGCATGTTTTTACTCTCAAAGATTTTGTTACCATTGCCATGCATTATACGACTGATAGACTGCAACGGTTGGAGTTAAAAATCATCATATGTGTTCTACCGAAGAAACAAAGTCACCTACATCTTGGATGCCCTGGGGGTAAGCAGATAAACATAAAATTTTTATTTTTGGGTGAACTATCCCTTTAATATCCTAATGATTTTTGGCATAAAAGAAATCTATAATTTTGACCCATACAATGTATTTTTGGCTATTGCTACAAAGATACCCCAGCGACTTAAGACTGGTTTTGTGGTCCAGGGTCACATATGTGCCGCTAAAACTACGTTTATTAATAATGCATTTGCATAACGACTGTTACTTCTTGAACTGTGGTTTTGATTACTCAAATTACACATGCATTTTGCTGTTAATCGTGTTTACCAAGAAGCGCACAGTTCTGAGTCTGAGGATGTGAACAGCTTGAGTAGAACGTCCCGTGATTACGACATGGTATGAATGCAGCAAAAGGTGTACATACAAAATTTGAAAACAAATTTTTAAATAAATTAAGTAAATCCAGATATGAATGAATGTTAATGCCAGGTGTAAAGGGGGCAGTAGGCACTTGGTAGTGGCCTATTTTGACTTGGGCTAGTAAGCAACCACCCAAAACATGCTAGCACCCACCTAGCAACACAGAACACCCCATCAACTCAACCTTAGCAGTGGGAACTGTAAGGGGAAGCACCACTAACATTTACTTCAGAAATCAAACTCTATGAATGCACTGATAAACTCTGTCACCTTTGAATGTGAACCACTGATGTCACATTCATCATCCTGTTTCCCAATAAGGCGAGCGCCTTGGGAGTCGTGAAGTGTTTATGCAATCGTTCATGAGTTTGTGTGTCAGCTCAAAGCTCTGGAAAAGATGAGTGCTTCACAAGAGCATGACATCCCTCTGCACTTGCCAACAAGGTGCCAACTCCTGCACTGAAGTACTATGATAATCCAAGCAGCCTGCAGCACACGGCAGATAACTGAAGGTTCCAGTTGGCCTTTGTGCTCAAAAACTACACCACAACAAAATAGATGGAGTTTGTGTGATTGTTTGAGTCTAAGGGCCAGATGAAGTGTGAAATACATCATAAAGTCCTGTGGTGGACTCTCAGATCAGACCTTACGGCCTGTTCACAACCACTTAGGAAAGAGGCACAAGTTTATCCTGTGGGCTTTCTTCCTTTTTCTCCTATTCCTCCCTTTCTTTTCCCTTTTCCCTTCCCCCTCTGTGGCCCTGCCTCCGCCTGCCCCCTTCCTCTTTGTCTCTCTCTCTCTCTCACATTGGGTCTCTTTGACTGAAAAGGTCTGGAACAGATTAAGAGCAGAGCTGCAGCATCAAGAGGCCTGGCACCGACTCAAGTCTGTCTAGATGTGCAGCTGAGAACAGTTCTGCCTGCGCTGGGCCTCACGTGGGGTGGGAAGGGGGGCGAGACAGAAAGAGAGAATGGCCAGACTTCAGTTCTCTGTTAATGGAGTACAATCCTATTCTACTCCCTGCTCAAATTACCCATGTGTCTCCAATGGGTGAGCGGAGACCTAGACGGGACAACATGTCAGGTTAGCAACTTATTTAATCATTTGTTTGGGATTCGACAGGTGCAAGAAGGAGTTAACGTTCTTCTAACTCATAGAAGTGTTTCTGAAGTTGGTGAGAAAAAGTTCCTCCAAATGTCAGCAGTTCATCGACCTCAATGACAGGAGCTGAGGGATAAAAACACAAACACAAAAGTCATAATAAAATGCCGGCATAAGCAGTTACATAAAACCGCATTGGAACGCCCCAACTTTCTCAACTTGCCGGCAAGGAATGAGTTAACTGCGTCTACCCCTCTTGCAGTTCTCCCCCTCACATTACGTCTGTAATTCAGGGGCCCACCAGCCTTGTCCGCTGAACACTTATAAATCTTCAAAGGGCTTCACCCACCAGCGCCGACCCCCCTCCCTTTTTGTCTTTCGTTCTTTCTCTCTCCCTCTCGCTCCTGCCTGACCCAGCCCTTCACAGACTGTTTACCACTTGCGTGTTAGGTGTATGGAAACCTGTTTTGTAGCTGAGGATTTTGGTCAAAAATGGGGCAAAACATGCCTGTTCATACATGAAGGAGATAGTGAGATAGTGTCCCTAGGGAAAACTCCTTTGGGATGAAGGGAAAGCACCTCAAGCGAGAATAACTCAAAGTGACATAAGTAGAAGCCTTCATCTCTTTGTGAGCCTTATGTGCTCATAGAATGAGATTAAAGAGAGGGACTGAAAGGGGTAGAAAAAAAGGACAACCATCTCAGTCTGACAACCTTTCGGGTGAACCATTTATCTTGACAGCAAAAAACAGATGATTAGATTAATGTGACAATTCCACTTGCTTAGATAAGTTTAATTGTCTCTGCGTATGGATTATGGATGCATATCTGAACAAGGGGTTTAGGGAACGGCATAATCAGATGCAGTTTGAGCTAGATTGTGAGTGTGTGTGTGTGTGTGTGTGAGTACAGGGATCACATAGCAGAGTCCTGAGTGTGCAGCAGTTTTGGCTAACCTCAGTATGAGTGACAGGAAGCAGGAATACTCTCTGAATAGTGTGCCACAAAAGCACATACACACTCACTCACTTTCATGCACACACACAGAGCAGAGAATAGCCATGTACACTTGGTTTGTAATCAGCATCATGATTAAGCAATAAGAGACAGTTACAGTTTTTTTTATCACAGTGGAACTGTGTTCTCAGGACTTTGAGTGCCCTACAGCTCCTTAACAATGAGAACACTGCAATGATGGGCCTTAGGTACAGTGATGAATAACATTCATGTAATTCAATTTGGAGACTGAACTCGGTACGCAGTTTAGGGTATTTTGTTCACAGGTGATAATCCAGTCGTATTAAAGCAACGAGCCGCCTCTTGATACTTTAGCTGAAATAGATATTTTACATACTTCTACTCTAGTATCAATTTTGGTCATAGTGAAGGGCGTCCCATGCAGACATGTTTAATTGTTGTTAGCTTATCCACACTCACGATGTTTAAAATGCATCAACGATGAAGCGTTAATGGTTTCCATCAATGAAACTGAATTTGCGGTTTCAGATGAAAATTTTATTGCATCACTACTCGGGTGGCTTATTTATTTATTTTTTATAAATTGTGGCAGCACTGTTGTGCTAAGAGACCAAAGTTCAATCAAAAGTAATTTATTGTGATATTATTTTTATTACGATGAACTTTTATGACTTTAAGCTCACCATAACGCGGGTCAAGTCGTGGGTCCAGCCAAGAGGTGGTTTTGTTCTTGTGATTGATATAGTAGATCTCTCCTTCTGAGGTAATAGCTTGCTCCCAACCATCAGGAACAGGACCTGAGAGAGAACAGTCAGTGTACAGTAAATTATCCATTACTAACTGAAATTCAAATTTGAGTAATCTTTGGCCATAATCCACACATTTTTTTTTCATCCCGCATTTTCACGAGGTTGTGAAAGGTACGAGGTTGAGCAGGGCCAGATTCTTCATTACGGCGATAGGGTCACAAAGAATTTTTTTTCGAACTGCAGTCACTGCAATGCAATCTCTATCGGTGCATCCGAAATTGCGTACTGTCTGAGTAGGTACTACATTTGAATTTACTTCATGACTGTTTAAAAAAAAGGACGTTCTATAGAGTATGAATATGAGTAGAATGAATGAAATTCGGCCGCACTACATCCGCCATGTTGTTACCGTCACATGACCTACCAGCATCAGTTTGCATCGCTTCACTTCCATTAATAAATCCTCTCCTGTGGCCTCATGGGATAGTAAAGTGTCCATCAAATGCGCACTTCAGAATCCGGGCAGCATATGAGTTCCGGGAGTGCTAGCACTAACGTGCTTTTGTCATCATAAGCAAACTTAACTTGTGCAATGATTGGTGGGAACAAACATACCTCTATTATTAATTATCTTTAAGCTGAAGTCAGGACTTATCTGTATGGCCTGAATAAAGCAAACCAGTATCTTATAAGTAAAGTCTTGATGGATGACGATTGTAATGGAGGTAAAGACTATTACAGTGCCATGCATGAGTTATTAGACACGCGTGAGTCCATTATTATTAGTGTGCAAATAAACAAACTGTGTATGTGCGTTCTCGGATTTCTTTTTGTACAAGCACATTTCAGTATGGTCGCATGTCTGGTAAGTGTTTTATAATGGACACTCGCTGAAGAAGCGTGTTTTATAGGAGTTTGCTGCGGTCAGTGGTGTTAATATACATATGGGCATCAGCACTCACTCTGACAAAGGAAACCGTTCACTGCTCATGTTGAGCTGCCTTCAGATTGCCACATTCGACAAATTCAGAATGTTTTTATTTTCCTTTTTTTAAATTTGTGCTTTGCTCCGTTTAACAATTCTGAATGGATCGGTATATATTTATATACAGTCAGGTTAAGGCGACTGGTATAGTGGTCTGTTGGCATCTCCGTGTGTTCCTGTTTGGTATTGTAGTTATAGAAAATGCTCTAAACAAATGTGAACAAATGTTTTTTCCTCAGTTATCATAAATGTTTTTCCCGCATATACATAAATTGTGAGTTATGAAAATGTATTAATTCATCTTGAAAAATTTGTGCAGAAAATATATTTTTGTGAGAATCATCCTCAAACTTAATCTTGAACTTTACTAACGGGATGTATGCTAAAACTGTTGGGACGTGGCGCCCTACCTACAAAATTTTCCACCAGTCGCCACTGGTTGATGGTACAGTATATTCCTTTGTTGAGTACTGTTCAGTCCGCATTATTTCAACTTCTTGTTTTAAATAATTGAATTTAAATGAATACAATCCTCATAATTTTGGAAAGATATCTCCACCAATCACAGGATCATGGAAAGCAAAGTGATTTTTAAATACTCTTTTTCTTTGATTCAAAGTTTGTAATGTTGTTATTCACCTCATGGCTGGCTTATAACTATTTAACAAGACTTTTTTTTAAATTCCGTTTGAAAAAATAAATAGGAAACATTCTTCCGGAATCAAGGCCTCTTGAAAAAACTGGGCAGAAACTGTTGCACTCTAGTTTCCAGGACCAAACAACTTTGCAAAGAATGACATTAAAGTCTGTGGGGAACACCTTAAATCACTGAACAGGACCAGTCTTGTCCGAGTTCCTGTTGAACCTTACATAGTCTGGACACCCAGGACACTATTGTCACTCCAACCAGACATGTATACCTAATCATCAACTGCCATTCACATGCATTCACTTGCATTCGTCTACCCTGATAAGGTTTTTGCGTGTGCTGAGGTAGAGACGGGTTTAGGTGGGATGTAAACAGACTGCTACACCCGTAGGATTACCATAAGAATGCTGGGACTGAGAGTGTAGTTTTGAATATGAAATGAGTGTCTGGAGCGGCTGACCTGAGGCAGGGTTCATGATGTTCTGCTGCTGCACAGGCACTGGGCTGGCTGGGGCGGCCTGGTTCATCTGAAGGAGGGCCTTACGTGGATCCTGCCAGGTGGTCGTCTGGTCATTATGGCTATGAGGAGACAGAGACATACATAAGCAGGACAATTAAACAAAAATATTGTGGCTGTGACCTTACTGCTCCTTTGGCTGGACATATTGGGCCAAAACACAACTGTCAATTTTTCATTTAGGACATATAGAATATATAAATAAATAAATACATACATACATACATAAATATATATGTATGTATGTATGTATGTATGTATGTATTCATATTATAATACTTTTATAAGCGATTACATCTGTTCTTGTTCTAGGCTGCATAAATCTACATTTCAAGGGCCGTGTACAACCATATAAACCAGTGTTAGATATCCCACATTAGTTTATTTGATTTAAACTGAGTGCTCAGATAAAACTCCCAGCAAGTGGAACTTTTACAAGATCTTTGTAAACACCTGAACACAGATCCATTTGGATAGCATCTCAGTCCTTTAATCTGCATAAGCAAAAGCAAACAGGAACCAAACATCTCCCAAGCCTCCTGCAAGCAAGTGTAAATGATGGTCTTTCCTGGAGCAATGAAACTCCCATTCATTTAGTTTGCCCTGGCTGCTAAAAATAGGCTCTTATGAAAGTCAATTTCATAAACTTTACGATTGCCACCCACTCTTGTGTCAGATCCGCTGATGTATTGCTGTGGAGGAGGGAGTGTGGATAACTGTAGGCCACAGAGTAAACTTTGACCCCGTTTACATGTGATTTGCCTGCGTGCAGTGAGTGGACTGAACCGGTGTCATCTGCACATGAAGTCACAGATTACTGTGTAAAGTCAGTGATGAATAACGCTTACTGGAAAACGAAACAACAAGTCCAAAAGGAAAGACTGAAGCCAGGCTTACACCCTTCTGTTTATTCAGATCTTAGACAGCAGGGTGGCAGGGAGAGCAGTGCTGCTTGACGCAGTGTTGTTCTCTTTTTCACTGCAGTTTATCACTTAAAGGTTAAGCAGTTTATGCTGGAAAATTAAGGCTTTTAAGCCTCAATCTCAACACAAATACCCAACAGACGTAAAATCAAAAGAAACAAAGTTAATCCTAAACGATTTAACTCCAAATATCAACGTTCGGATGTTTCCTACCATACTATCACAGCACATTTCATGATCTAATCTTGCAGCTTCCTTAAGATCAAACCGTTCCTTCCTAAACACTAGCTGCTAATCTTCACATGTTCTTTTAAACAAATAGAGTCTTCCAATAAAATGGTTTTTGTGTCCTGAAGGCACAAGCATGCAATTTATGAGCAGTGTTTTGGATGGAGTGGGTGGTTCAAAAGACCTGCGATTGGAGGCGTTGCACGTTCTGTCAGTGTCTATGAAACTACAGCCAGTGCGGATTATGCACGTAGGTTTTTAACTCAAAATAGTGCTGCAAGTAAACACTACTGAAAGAAGCAGATTTACATAACTTCAGGACACACCAGGCAGTTGTGAAACACTAATGAACACTACTCGCGTCTATTCTACAGTGAGATCGGCTGTAACACTCGGTGCAGAGGCATTTCTAATGATGGCTTTGTTGGGGCTTGTTGCTCGATTAAGATGTAGAGCTAATGCAGGAAAAGGCCCCTCTATCGCTCATTCTCTTTCTCTCTCTCTCAAGTGAGGGCCTGTACATTCAAGGCAGGGTCAGTCATGGGTCTCCTCCCAGGAGGTTTCTTTCTCTCGCTGCCTGTTCCAACACACTGAAGTGTCAGGCTCTTTAACAATCTGGCGCCAGTTTTACAAAGCTTTCACCTGCTGGACAAAAGCTCAGACCAAGCTACGACCCAAAACCCTAAATGCTATTCACTTGTTTCTCTTTTCCTTCAGCTCTGCTCTCTTTGCCTATTTAAGACAGTTTTTGTTGCCCAAAACGTAAGATATGCATGCACTGAACTTATGCTTGGGCATCTTGACTAGTGATAGACCAATAAATCCATTTCGAGATTATTGGGATTGACTGATAAACATGTTTGATTGGCTAATAAATGTCACCGTCTCCTTGTGCCAGTTTCTAAATCTACTGACAGCTTTGTAAATAGATCAAAAGGGAAGATTTCAATTTGACAAATATTTTGAAAATATTCTTTAATTTTCAGTAATTATTTCTATTGACATAATTATGCATATTAATATTTTTGCTTAATATTTTTTGTGGAAACCATGATACACCACCCCCCCCTCCCATCCCTCCCTTTGATGAACAACGTTTTTAAAAAAAGCATTTATTTGAAATATAATTTTTTTTTGTAATATTATAAATGTATTCACTGTCACTCTTGATCAATTTAATGCATCCTTTTCTTAATAAAATTATTAATTTGTTTGATAAAAATCTTACTGACCCCAAACCTATTAAGAGTAGAATTATAATACATGGGCATCAATACATTTATAATATACTAGCATTATATGGACCATCAGCCATCCTGAACTCTTGATATTGACATCAACTATTGAAAAACCCATGTTGTTTGGCCACTAGTCTTGATAGATATGTTGTTATATATCTTGATAGATGTTGTTATTAATATTTTATGTTCTTTGATTTCTACTATTTATGTACAGCACTTTGGTCCGTTTTTGTGGTTTTGATCGTGCTTTATAAATAAAGGTTGAGTTGAGTTGAGATATACAACTGACCACTAGTCTACTGGAAGAGAAACCACAGGACAAAAAAAAAAAAGCCTGAGAGGATGTTTGACCTTGTGGATAAATTAATTCTGCAACTTTCTGACAGGTTTTGTTTGCAATACTGAATTGGCAAGACCCTTTTTTCCTGCCGTCACTTTCTCTTTGCCACCAATTAGTCACTATTCCACCATCACTGCCTTATGAGAGAGTGAGGGAGGGAGCAAGAATAACAAAAAGAGGAGAGAGAGAAAGAAAGAGACTGACTCAGCACTTCACCACCCCCTCTTCTCTAAGCTCCCTCTTGTTTATACTTTACTGATCAAAGGATCTGCCAAAAACTGCCCCTCTCCCACCCACCTACCAGTAAGCCACCCTACCCCCAACCCACACACACTCCAGGAAAACAGCCCAGGCCACAGCAGACGAACAGGGGGCCTCTTCACGAGGGTCACGGGGGAGGGCCAAATGACCGTCAAACACAAAGAAAAGGCCACAGAGGAGGAAAAGGAGGAGGAAAAAAACGAGCGCGGAAGCAATCCTTCAGAACTCCATTGGCTGATTGGATGGCTATGGTCCTGTTACACTTTATGTCACCCCGATCCTCCCCCTCCTATTGCTGCTGGAAACTATGACAGAGACACGGGGGGAGCGAGGGAGGGAGAGGCGGTGTGAGTTCATTTTAATTGGAGCACAGGATGTCGAGTATTAAGATCTGCTCGGCGAGGGCAGACGCAGGCGCACTCACACAGGTGGGCTTTCTTAGCCTGAGCGCTCTGCCCACACGGTGCCTTTTCCATGCAAAACACTGACGCTCATTTAATTCAGTGTCACAATAATCCAGAACGAGAACTATTGACCGTAACCAACACAAATGACAGCTTACTTACAACGTGCTGTTTTCTGGCAGTGGTTTGAAGGCCAAACAAACTCCAAAATCTAGTGAGATTACTCGCTCTGCCTACAGGCAGCATCCTAAACATCATAAAAGAATGATTTGGAGTGCACTATATAGTGAGCAACTCTACAAAACACACAAATAGCTCCGTATGGAAGAATCACAAATGATGGCAGAGCTTCTAAGCTGATGATGCAACATTAATAAAAAAATTATCAATTTAATGCATGCATGCTGAATAAAAGTATTAATTTCTTTAAAAAAAAATCTTCTGACACTTTTAAATGTTAGTGTAATTAAAACTAATACTTTTTATTAGGTTTTAAAGAATGACCTCATGGCAATGCATTATGGGATTGCCGTCTTTGTGAAGGATCTCTTTGAAGGTAGCATAATTATGGAACAGATTTTATGTCTGTGATGCTGCTGTCTATACAGGCAGTTCACTAGCTTTTGGAACAGAGCAAATGTGCTTTTGTAGTCAAAAGCACACAATCCAGTCTGGGTCAGAGCCCTACCATCGCGTCACTCTTGAGCGTCTGCTCATGCAATGTTCTCTCTGCTCTTCCAGCACACACAAACACACTTCACAAATGAGGCAGACTGGCTTCCCTTTACTCAGTGGGAAAGTACCGGAAAAATGGGAGGACAGTCAAAAAGCAGCCAAGAGTAACAATAATGGTGAAATCCATATGCATTTAATACTTTGCCCGTGATTTATTCATGATGCCAACCTGTATTTGATGAATAGAAGCATTAGAGATAGTCATTATCATATCTTGTGCCAATACATTACAGCTAATACACTGAAAAAAAGGTTGTAAAAACAATTTTCACTCAGAAATTGCTAAAAAAAGTCACAAATAATTACAAAGAAATGGAAAGTAACACATTGAATTAAATATAAAATTATAAAAAATATTTTAAAATATATTAAAAAGTATAAAGATCACATTTTTCCTTGCAAAGCACACCAATAAATCATTTGTTTCATTTACAAGTTTTTTTTTTTTTTCAGTAACAATAAGTGATTAGTTAAGTTCACTCATCAGTGCAGTTTAATGAGGCTGACTGCACATTCACACCAACAAACTAACACCTATGGCAATGGTATCCCACACTCCCACCAGAAAAACATCATCACCGCTCAGGGCCATTACAGATCGCTGGGGGCCACCAGCTGAGAAGCATTATTGAAGATTATAGGGCCAGAGATGGAGACAAAAGCGTAGACAGGATAGACGTCCGCTCAAGAGACCCCCACAAACACCCTCCAGAGCTTCAAACATCATCAGCCATATGACTGCAACCTTCTTTCTGGAGCTCAACTTCCATCCCAGACTAAGCACTGAAAAGACAGACTGGGAGAATGACAAACAGACAAAGAAAGGTCTACAACCCTGGTAGCAGGCTTTTGCTTTATAGCCAATAGACAGGGAGAGCGGAGGTGGGGATTCTGGCACTCAAATCACATTGAGCCATGACCACACAGGAA